CCTTCAACTCGGCAAGATGGGACGACATGCTGGCAGTCTTGGAACGGTCATTCAAAGTTCCAACATACTTGCTAGATATGATTCGGGACTACCTCAGAGACCGTTGGCTTTTGTACGACACAACAAGAGGTCAGAGAAAGAGACGTATAACCGGCGGAGCGGCACAGAGGTGTGTACTTGGTCCGGACCTCTGGAACGCCACGCATGACGGTCGGTTGCGCACGGAAATGCCGGAGAGCGCCTTCCAAGAAACATCCAGCTAGCGCAGCTCAAGCTGAACCAGGTAATACGCAGCGTTAGTGGATGGATGAGCGATCACGGTCTGCAATTGGCTACAGCCAAAACAGAGATCGTGATCCTCACCAAGAAACGCATCCCAACAATTACAAAAATGATGGTCGGACCGCAGCTTGAGAGAACTTATAGGCCTACAAAATACCTAGGGATGAAGCTTGACAACATACTCACATTCTGGGAACAAATTCATGGAATATGTGAAAAAGCTGCGCAGAGCACGGTGGCTCTAAGCCGGCTGATGGCGAACGTGGGCGGCCCGAAGCCATGCCGTAGGAAACTTTTGATGTCAGCAGTCCAGTCGGTGCTCCTGTACGGGGCAGAAATATGGGCCAACGCATTGAAAGTCAAAAAATGCTGGATTCAAATATCTTCGGTCCAGCGCAGAGGCGCACTATACAGTGTCCGCGGACGCGGTTCTAGTTATTTCTGGATTCATGCTAATTGAGCTACTTACATACAAGCATAAAGAGATTTACGATCTCAGTGTCGAGATAGGCCGAGCAGCTGCCGCGGCGAGGGTTCGCGAGCAACTAATCCAGCAGCGGTAACAATCTTGGAACGCGAGCACAAAAGGTCGATGGACGCACAACCTGATAGCCGACCATCAAACATGGTTGAAAATACCGCACGGAGAAGTCGATTTCTACCTGACCTGGTAAAGGAAAGAAAATCCTACTTGGCCCTACAAATTAGTTATACCTTTTTGAAAGAAATATTTCTTGAAAAATAATCCGTGTCATTAAGGTAGTCATAATTTGACAACAAATTCGTATTATATAATATTTCATATGAAATCATTATTTTCCATGTTTAAGAAGTAACACCAAACCAGCAACTACTATTACAATTTGAAGTTTCCATACAAAAATTATTATGAAAGCTATCAACTCATAACTGTTAGAACATGCCACGATCGAATTCGTTGAATCAAGTGGATTTAACGGCTTGCCCAGCAGTTATTATTGAAAATACTAATCAGTTTTAAGTTCGCTGGACATTTCTGAATAAGAATGGCTATATTTCGATTAATTTTTCACAGTTTTAAAATATGCCTTTTTCGCGTAAAACCTTGCCTATCCGACCACTGTGTGGCGTGCTGTTTTGGACGCGGCCAAAATCGCTTAGGCCGCTTTGGCGCCAATAAAGAAGAAGTTAGAATTTTACAACTATTATACAATAGGTGGTTTTCTATTTTTACAATTAGGGGATTCACAAGACGTGTTAACCGTCGTAAAATCTTAAGCTTAACACTTGTTTATGTAAAATAGCGGTTAAAATGGTTGGGGGGTTGGCTAATTATATATTCTTTATCAGTTTAAAAGAATTTCGGTTTAGTTAGAAATCCCCTAAAACCATTTTAATTAAAAAAGATGTTAACCTTAAGATTTTACGACGGTTAACACGTCTTGTGAATCCCCTAAATATTAATAAACACTTACAGCAAGCATCACTGTTATAAAAATGTCTAACTAAAGTGCATACATACATACATATGTACATGTATATATACATATTTGGCGAAAACCTCATGACCACTAAAGGAGGACATACATATGTATTATGTACGTAAGCAAAAAAGGGGCTCGTATTTTACTGTCAATCCAACAACTAAATTTTTGTTCGTGTTATCTTTCGAAGTGTAAATACTTAATACTTATCTACAGGCGTAAGTAATCACCATACCTATTTTATGAAGAAAAGGAAAGTCACCGCAATAAAAAAACAAAATCAAATTAGCTTGACTCACAATTTTTATCTAATCGGTACTACTTGATAAAAAAAATATGAATGAAAATGTTAAACTGGCCTAGGTTTAACTTTTTAATCAATAAAAGTGAATGAGCTACTTAGCGTTGATTTATGATTGTTGGAAGGTACCATATACCTATGAATAGTATATCGTGGATGTTTTTGCAAAATCGCCCTTCGATCAGTTGCAAAATCGCCTAAATCGCCGTTGTGTCAAAAATGACATTCGGTTACCCTGAGTTGGGTATTATTTTTGGGAATATCCTGAAGAAAAACAGAGTTTTCCGATTGAAAAATATTGACTGACAAGAATTCTATACCATTTCTGTAAAACGTTATTTTTTCCCCATATAAAGTACATGGAAAACTTTGACCGCTTTAAGCACTTCCTAAATATTTTTTGATTTCAAAATAAAAAAATAGGGGCATATTTTTTTGGTATAGAGCAATCCTAGAGGGCTGCGGGATTAAAATTCCGACTTTACATTTTCACATGCATTTTTGGACCTCCCTAATGTACATAAGTATGTATTTCCGTACATAGCTAACCAAGATAACTTTGCACAATTTTCATAAGTACTGAAATAATTTCGCCACTTTGTGTATTTAATTGAAGGTAAAGTACAAATAGATAAGAAGTGCAAATTAGGATCACACCAAAGGCAGCACTTTACAACTTGTTGCATCTCTTGCCGACGGATGTATCGGCTAAGAATATAGGCGGCAAGGACTGGCAAGTTTCTGTGCAAGTCCTATGACACAGTAGTATAGCGTCAACTTTAACTATTCGATTGGATTTAATATATAATCCCGGATCTGCACTATGCGACGAACTTCGTTGCCACTATAGAGGGTCGAATGCTGGCGTGACGGCATGAGGAGTTCTGGCTCGGTTCATGTCTGCACAGACGTATCGAAGATGGAGAAAAACGTAGGGGTGGCCGTCGTCTGCGAGGAGCTTGGTATCTACAAATTCTATAAGCTGCCAAACTACTGTACCATTTTCCAGGCGAAAGTATTGGCCATAAAGAGAGTGGCGGAACTACTGAGCTGCAACCTAGTAGTAGACTGCGAATAGGACATTTCCTGCTAGCACCGCACGCCTTTAAACTGGCTCTGTCAGTGATAATATTTTTAAAAGATGCAGAATGCAAGAGCAGATATTGGATAATATTCAATGTGATTGTTCGGCCCTTGGCAGACTACGGATTAGTCTCCTGGCTGCAGGCTTTCTGCCTAATCTGTTTATCTAGTAAGCTATGGACCTTAATGTTTTCTGCGAAGCCATGCAATGGCTATCCAGCTCATCTAATCTACTTAACCTAAAATTTACCCGATTCTTTTGGTATTAATAGGACTTCTTAAAGCAAATAGCAATAGTTTCCTTAAGGTTGAAGGGCTTCAATGGCATTCGCTTGTACTGTACATCAAAACACAATTTCTCATCAAGGAACGATTCAAAGTAGGCCATTCTGACACAAACCGCCGATTGATTTTTTTTTTCAAATAGAATTCTTCACTGAATACCCTTAAATAGCGTTTGTGAGAAAATTATATGTTTGGACATGAACGCTTGTTGTATTCTTTCAATGATCCTACGCTTCTCTTCAGTAAACAGCGGTACAATATTTTTGTAATACTGTTATATTAGAAGTGTTGAAGTGTTGAATGACACGAGGTTTGGATACTCCAGAATCATGGATGTTCTTCCTGGCAACTTAAAGTGCACAGACTATACGGCATTATTTTTGCTTTGAGGAATTATTTCCAAACGAAACTCCCCTCTAGGAGGAAATCAGAAAAGGACCTTGAACCAGTGTTTTTATTCTGTGGACGTACATACACATACACCGATGGTTCTAAATTATATCTTGAGTTAAGAAGAGGATTATATCCAGAAGGGCTCTCAATCAGCTTCCAGGCGCCCAATTTCTGCACCATTTTTAAGCTCAACTAACGGCAATCGCAGAAACTTTAACCAGCTTACAGTCACATACATATGCTTAACCAGCTTGCAGAAGCTTTCTTCTTTGGTAGTCAGACAGAAATTTAAGCCTTGATTGTGATAAATTATCTTCAAGGACAGTCATGGAGTGCCGAGATTGTATTGGTACCAAGTTACAAAAACACATATGTACGCTAACATTATATTTAGGTTTATTTTTAGGGCTGCTTCCTTCAAAATTAAAAAAAAAATTTAGATAAGATGTCACAATTGATTTTCTTCGTTTCTTAAATTTCCCTCCACCCTCACCTCAAATACTTAGTAACGATTTTGACAAAAGTTTACTTATGTTGCTGCATGCAGATGCCTTGCACCAATTGACTTAGCACTGCCGGATCGTAGTGTGGTTTTACTAATTGTCTATTCTCATCTTGCTCCTTAGCGAGCTGTGCTTTTTGCAAATTTTCACCTCCCATTTGCTCTGCTTCAAAGAATTTCTCACAAGACTCTGTAGGGAAATCAATATAATTGCCTTGCATATCGCGTCCCGTCTCGTTGATT